TGCAAAAGACATGGCGGCCATGTTTAATGATAATGTAAAGAGATGAATACATTTAACGAAGACGACGACCRTGAAAACCAGAATGACGAAAGAAAATTGAAAAACAAAATGGTAGCATCATAGATAGCATGCGCCCTCTGATTGGTCGAGAACTGTGCTGTATTAGTGAACAAAGCACGGAGAATGCTATTTTATTTTTATAATATAGTTTTATAATTGAATAGTTTCTTAAAACGCTTTTAGCATCATAGATAGCATGCGCCCTCTGATTGGTCGAGAACTGTGCTGTATTAGTGAACAAAGCACGGAGAATGCTATTTTATTTTTTTGATATAGTTTTATAATTGAATAGTTTCTTAAAACGCTTTTAGCATCATAGATAGCACACGCTCTCTGATTGGTCGAGAACTGTGCTGTATTAGTAAACAGAACACGGAGAATGTTATTTTATTTTTTTAATATAGTTTTATAATTGAATAGTTTCTCAAAACGCTTTTAGCATCATAGATAGCACGCGCTCTCTGATTGGTCGAGAACTGTGTTGTATTAGTAAACAGAACACGGAGAATGTCATTTTATTTTTTTAATATAGTTTTATAATTGAATAGTTTCTCAAAACGATTTTAGCATCATAGATAGCACGCGCTCTCTGATTGGTTGAGAACTGTGCTGTATTATTGAACAAAGCACGGAGAATGCTATTTTATTTTTTTAATATAGTTTTATAATTGAATAGTTTCTTAAAACGCTTTTAGCATCATAGATAGCACGCACCCTCTGATTGGTCGAGAACTGTGCTGTATTAGTGAACAAAGCACGGAGAATGCTATTTTATTTTTATATATAGTTTTATAATTGAATTTCAGATATCGATGAATGTACCGAGACTCCAGACAAAGGAGGGTGCGCTCAAAATTGTACGAACTATCAAGGTGGCTACGCTTGTTCATGTTACGACGGATACAGACTGAAGCCCGATGATAAAGGATGTGAAGGTAAGGTGTTCTAGATTGAAAAATCATTGCTGGGTCAGAATCTACATATCACTCAGTTGATGTAATGTTTTCAGAAAATCGTTTGTATTCTATTGTCGTTCTATCTATTGTATTAGGTGTGATTCTATTGTATTCTATTGTCGTTCTATCTATTGTATTAGGTGTGACTCGTTGTATTTTTATGAACACACTACATCAAATGCTTGCACGTAGGCTCTCCCGTTCAAAAACATAGAACAGAGAGGCTGTGGTAAGGTAGAGAAAATGGTACATAGAAAGTACCTTGATAGACCTTATCGGCTTGGGACAAATATTTTCCCATTTCAGACGTGTCATTCCCTAGATTATCATTTCTTTGTTTAATGGTTGTGCATGAGAAAACACACGAGTATGGATACAACTCAGTACAAGGATCTTAATCTCAAGCGAATGACAGGCGGTCTGAAACAGGAAAACGTTGCGCTCAAGCTGACAAGGTGGCATACATTGAAATCTTGTATTCCTCATTTTTGGTTTTTGATTATTACTTCACAGAGATCTACTGTCCCGAGCTGGAGGCGCCTTTCCGTGGTTCTATTCTTCCTTCGACTTGTACCGACGACAGATAYAACATTCGCCGCAATACTATGTGTACATACCAGTGTGCAGCTGGACATAAACTAGCCAATGGAGACAGGTCACTGACTTGTAATATCGATGGTACATGGTCTGGAAAGGTGCCTTACTGCAAACGTAAGTAGGTTTTGTAAATTTTGTTTGCTGGAGAAGAAAAGAAAGATGATAAAAAGACTGAAAAAGAGAGTCAAACCAAACCATGAGGTTGGAATAAGAAAAGAATACGAAAAAGAATAAAAATAATAAGAAAAAAGCGAGAGGAAAAAGAACAAGAAAGGGAAAAAAATAACATGAAAAAAGGGTGAATAAGAAGACTAGACCTAACCTCCAACCACAATTTTTATTATTTTACTTAAACTTTGCCGAGGCGTTGTGTATTTATTTCATTTCATACTATATTTAGCCGAGGTTTGCCCTGTTCTACAAGAACTAACAAACGGAGGAGTAATCCCCAAGTCTTGTTCCATGAAGAATGTGGACCACGGTATGAGATGTGTGTATTATTGCAAACCTGGTTACGAGTTACGTGGACCAAGATACACCACTTGTAATAATACACAATGGAGTGAGCCATCCCCGGTATCCTGTGTCAGAGGTAGGTTAATACAAGGACCACGTGTCATTCTCTTGAGTATTATCTTTGTCCAGTGAAAAAGGTGAACCATCCCCGGTCCTGTGTCAGAGGTAGGTTAATACAGGGACCACGTGTCATTCTCTTGAGTATTATCTTTGTCCGGTGAAAAAGGTGAACCATCCCCGGTGTCCTGTGTCAGAGGTAGGTTAATACAAGGACCACGTGTCATTCTCTTGAGTGTTATTCTTGTCCAGTGAAAAAGGTGAATCATCCCCGGTCCTGTGTCAGAGGAAGGTTAATATGTGGACCACCTGTCATTCTCTTGAGTGTTATTCTTGTCCAGTGAAAAAAGTGAATCATCCCCGGTCCTGTGTCAGAGGAAGGTTAATATGTGGACCACCTGTCATTCTCTTGAGTGTTATTCTTGTCCAGTGAAAAAGGTGAGCCATCCCCGGTGTCCTGTGTCAGAGGTATATAGGTAAATACAAGGACCACGTGTCGTTCTCTTGAGTACTATCTTTGTCCAGTGAAAAAGGTGAGCCATCCCCGGTGTCCTGTGTCAGAGGTAGGTTAATACGAGGACCACGTGTCACTCCCATGAGTATTATCTTTGTCCAGTGAAAAAGGTGAGCCATCCCCGGTGTCCTGTGTCAGAGGTAGGTTAGTACGAGGACAACGTGTCATTCCCTTGAGTATTATTTTTGCCACGTGATCGCCCTCAAATTGCTGTGTCACCATTCAATGGAACTGCAACAGGAGATTGACTTTTCTCTCTCTCTCTCCTTTACTTAGTATATCAAGAACCCTGGATACGATGCCCGACAGACATCGTAGTCGATCTAACAGCAGACAGTAACACAGCAGTTCTGGGCTTCAAATGGCAATTGCCGGTCACTAACATGAAGACCGCTGWWGTAACACCAAGTAACTTGAACGAGAACTATCCGTTCCCAGCTGGAAAGACACGTGTTAAGTGGACAGCMACCAATCTTGATGGTGTTTCGAAAAGTTGTTACTATTACGTCATTGTTGAGGGTAAGCTTTGATTTTTATTCTCAAGAATATTATACTTTCTGGSGTTGATGGAAAACTGGATCRAGTTKGCTTTGCAGTGCATTTTGGGGCTGTTTCAGGAGACGAGACGTTATCTTGGAAA